CATGCACACACACCCTCACATGCACACACTCCACCCCTGCAGCCTCGCCCATCCAGCTTGTGTTGCAGCACCACTGAGCAAGACACTGTCCGTGTCCACCCAGCCTCTCAGGAGGGGAAGATCATCCACCACTGGCCCCCACATACAATTTCTTGCCACCCCTTTAAGGACAATGAGCACAATCCCGAATGAGTTTTGAGTGGTCACTGTCCACTCTTGAGGCAGCAGGTGGGTAGGAGGGTGGCCGCATGCTGTGTTCTGGCCAGCAGGGGGCGCATCAGTGTGTGTCCTCAGCATCTGCCTTAGGGAAGGTCAGACCCAGCCCCAGGGGCGGTCGTCATTCCTGGAAGCCAGCCCCATGTCTCACATTCATGGTGCTTTCTGCAAAGCCTGAGGCAGGACCTGCCTCCTCTTTCTAGAAAGAGGTGTCCATTGGTGGTTCCCAGTGAGCGTTTAGGGGGCAGCGCTTGGGCTTAAAATAGGTGAAACATCCCACTTGTTTCCATGGCCAGCCAGCACGGTCACCCTGGCTCACTTGCAGAGCATATGTCATATGTCTGGGGTCGGAAGTCACATGTGCATCAGCTGCTTCTGGTGGGCTGGAACAGCTCCCCACCGTGGGAGAGGGCAACCTTGTTCACCAAAACATAAAATCTGAAACCTCGCAGGCCCTCTGAGGACACCTAATTCAACCCTCTCAGCTACCTAAAGAGAAAATTGAAGCCCAGCAAGAATAAGAACCATCCACCCCTCGCAGCAGAGTTAGGAGCAGCCCCAGGCCTTCCTTGAGAGGCAAATAGTAAAAGCGAGGGAATGATCTCGAAAGGTTCTGTGTCTGATTTTTTTTCCCCTTTAATTACTCTCTTACATTTAAGGAAAATTAAAACCCTGAGACATTTCTCTTTTTGTCAGTACCCAGATGAGCACTACCCTTTCCTCATCTTGGGAAGCTACAGACTCTGTCATGGCTCAGGGGCACTGTGGCCTATGCGGGGCATGGTCCTCGCCATTGGGTAGCCTTCTTGGCCAGGGCTGTCCCTCTGCTGGGTTGTTAGTGGGCTCACTGGTATGGCTCTGAAGAGAGAGTGTTGCTATAGCTCTCTCCCCTGGAGCCCCCGTGCCAAGTCTGCAAGAACATGGGGCAGGAAGAGCTGCTGGTACAGAAAAAGTGAGAGCGTAAGGCCCTCGCAGTGGAGCCTCAGAGATGAGAGTGAGCGGAGGAAGGCTGGTTCGGGAAGGCTGGCTGCCCCCCAGTCCCCTTCTTCTGCCATGCACACCTCTGCCACATCTTCACTTCTCTGCGTGGCCCCCACCCCATCCAGTGCAGCAACTCAGCTGGCCCCACCTCCAAGTTCTCTGCCAACCCGCCATCCCTCCTAAGCATCAGGGACCAGAGACCTTCCCAATGACCAAGAGGCTGTTTAAACCAGCCGCCCACTCCAAATCTCAAATACCTTCCTTCCACTTGCCAAAGAGAGTGTGCATGTGTATGTGTTACTTTATAACACGCCGTATATATTTAAATTGTCTGTCCATCTGCCTGTCCCCTCTGCAGCCTCCTCAGTAGGGCATGCACAGCCGAGCCCAGTCTTCAGCTGCACCTACCAGCACACCTCGTCCTGTGTTCCAGTCCCTGCTACTC